TGGTGCCCTTTTTGTTGTTCTGTGCCTTGTTTGTTTCAGTTTGTGTCTCATTTGTGTTGTTTTGTGGATCATTCGAGCTATTTTGTGTCTCATTTTGTGTCTCATTTTTGTCATATTACGTCTTATTTATGTTGTTTTGTGCCTTTTTTGTGTCGCTTTTGTCTCATTTGAGGCATTTTGTGTCTCATTTGTGTCATTTCCTGTCTTGTTTTGTTCATTTTAGATCTTATTTGTGTTGATTTGAGCCTCATTTGTGTCTCATTTTTCTTTTGTTTCTCATTTGTGTCATTTTGTGTCTTTTTTGTGTTGCTGTTGTCTTATTTGTATCTTTTGTGTCTTGTTTGTGTTCCATTTGTGTCGTTTTGTGTCATTTTTTGTCTTGATCTCGTATCTCGCTTCTATCGATTCATGTCGAGTTTGTTTGATTTGTTTGTCTCATTTTTGTCAGACTGCATCTCATTCATGTCATTTCATGTAATCTTGTGTTGTTTTGTGTCTCATTTTTCTGTTGTCGTGTTTGTTTTGTGATCCTTTCGGCATCTCGTGTCTTCTTGTTGGTTTGTGTCGTTTCATCTCACGTTTTCTCGTGTGTTTCAAATCATTTATGTAGTTTTTATTAATCGTGTCTCTTTTTTAAATTTTGAGTCTCGTTTTTCTTTTGTTTGTGTTGTCTTGTGATCCTTTTGTCACTCTGTGTCTTGTCGGTTTGTGTCTCGTTTGTGTCGTTTCATCTCATATTTTTTCTTTTCTGTCTTGTTTGTGTCGTTTTGAGCCTTTAACGTGGTTCATTTTTATCTTGTTTTTTTCCATTTTGTGTCTAGTTTGTGTTGTTTGGTGTCACGTTTTGTCAGTTTGAATCTTCTTTGTGTTCTTTTGAATTCTATTTGCGTCATTTTGTGCTCTTTTTTTGTTTTACGCCTCGTTTGTATCATTTTTTTTTTTTTTTTGTCATTTTGTGTTTTCTGTTATTTGTTTCTGGTTTCTGTGATTTTGTGCCTTTTCTGTGTCGTTTTGTGTCTAATTTGTGTCATTTTATCTCCTTTTTGTGACATCTTGTTTGTCTCTGTGGCAGTTTTGTCTCCTTTCTCTTATTTTTTGTCATGTTGTGTCTCGTTTTTCTTGTTTGTTTCAGATTTTTGACAACACAAAACATTGCTTTTAGATTTTGCATTTGTCTTTTTGCGGTGCGCTGATTGTGTTCATCACAGAGGACATGTGAAAGTGACCCTCTGCAGATGAACTGGCTGCTGTCGACACCTTCGGTCCGACACGCCGACAGAACCACAACATGTCCGCCGCCGACGGAGACGTACGAGCTGCAGGACTGAACAAGCAAACACGACGTCCAGACAGTTTCCTCCTAAACCTCTCACAGCTATCGCACAACCTCATAAATCACAGAAACATACGAACCTGCAAACGAACGCTGCAGCTCGGAGGCAGCAGAGTTCAGCCGGCTGACGGTGGAAAGACTTCAGAAATGAGAGGTTTTCTGCTGTTGTGTAATTACAGACGACTGCAGGCCTGAAATGAGCCATCAGGCAAAGTGTGGGCCGAAGAAATGAGCGGTTTGGTGCATTTTAAGTAGCGTGCACAAAGAATTTAACATCGAAATTATAGATATGTTGTGTCAATAATGCACAAATGAGCGGACGGTATTTATTATTCTTCAATCTTTGTAGATGAAGGCAACAGATGTCCAAAGTGACTCAAAATAAAGTTCGAAATGACTGAAAATATGTCCAGAATGACTCCAGAATGATTTAAAATTCATCCATAACGGTTGAAACATGTCCAAAATGACAAGTATATCCCCCCAAAAAGTGTAAAAGGACTCAAAATTTTTGAAAACGACAAATAAAAACCCCTGAAAATTTGTCCGTAATTGTTGAAATATGTCCAAAATTATAAACAGATGCAAAAGAAATAGTCTGAAAGGACTCAAAAATGTCTAAAATAACAAAAAAAACTCCAAAAACGACTTAAAATTCGTCCATAATTGATTAAATATATCCAACATTACAAACAAATATCTAGAAGGATTCAAAAATGTTTAAATGTTTGAATTAAAATGTCATACATATAACATATCAAATAAAAAACACAAAATGACTTAGAAATCATCCATATTTGTTAAAATATGCCCGAAATGACTCAGAAAATAGTCCAACATGACCAATATGTGCAAAAAAAAGTCTAAAAGGACTCAAAGATGTCTAAAACGACAAACAAACACTCCAAAAGTGACTTAAACTTCATCCGTAATTGATGAAATAGATTAAAAATGAATCAGAAAATAGTCCAACATTAAAATTCATGCAAAAGCAAACACCTTAAAGACTCAAAGACGACAAACGAAAACTCTAAAATGACCTAAAATCCATGTGCAGTTGTTAAAATATGTCCAAAATGAAAAATATATGCAAAAAAGTAGTCTAAAACGACAAACAAAAAGTTCAAAATGACTGAAAATTTGTCCAAAATGCTAAAATTGAATTCCAGAATTCATGAGTAGCAGCAACAGAATGACTGTGATTAATGTTTTTATTCTTTCTAGATTCAAATAACAGATTTTTTAGTGATAAAGTGAATTAAAATGGTACTTTTATGGACGTTGAGCATTTTTTCAAGTCTGTATTGTGTAGATCGGAAAGTAACTAAGTACATTTACTCGAGTACTGTTTTGAGTTACTTCCATTTTCTGCTACTTTATTACATTTAACAGGGAAATATTACACTTTTTATTCCACTACGTTTGTTTAGATAACTGTTCTGCTACGTTGCAGATTTAATTTAATGATATAAAATCAATATAAAACTTTATTGATCCTACAATCAGCGACAAACACATTAAAGCACCAAGAATCATGATCCAACATGAAAACCTCATTTTTAAGCTTCTGTGCTTTTACTTAAAGCTCTAAATGCTTTGTCCGCTTGTTCTGTTGAAATAAAAAACGCGACTTTACGACTAAGCGTGAATTTTCTGTCTGTAATTTGCAAAATATCCAAAATAATTTAACTCCACTGCAGAAAGTAGTGAAGAAATGATGAATAAACGTCCGTTTACAGGCGGCTCTCTGTGATATAAAGATGGTTTTTTGTTTTTTTCTTCCTATTTCACTTCATACTATGTGACCCACACATTCGTTTCCGTCCCCGTTCTGGACTCTCGCGGGTCTTTGGACCGGTTTACTGGAGTCCAGCTGCCAGACGTCCTCATGGAAAAGCAAAGTCATAGAATCATAAATGACTTCGGAGGACATAAAGCTTTTAAACCGTTCACGTGCTGCAGCCTCGGAGCTAAAACACATCGTTATTAGATATTAATGTGGAGGTAACTGAGTACTTTTACTCAAATACTGCACTTTTTTCCCCCTGTTCTGCTCCACTGCATCTCTTTCTGCTTCATGACTTTTTCCAAATTCTGATTTTTGCACATTAACTATGTAAATATCTGTTAAATATCATGTTTTTTTAACTATAAAACAGTTTATTCAAGTACAGCCAAGATGACCAGATGATTAATTGGTTAGTTTTGGATTTTTTAAAAAATACTTTCGGCCACTTTCTTGTTATTTTCTGATTTTTTACTAAACAAAAAAGCTGATTAATGAGTAAAACAATCAGCAGAATGATCCAGAATGAGATGAAACTCCTACTTTTGCACTAATGTATGAGTAATAATAATCTATTGACACCATAAATAACTTTTATCGTGCGGTATTAGTACTTTTACTCAAGTAAAGCATGTGAGTACTTTTATTTTTTTCTACCACTGATTAAGATAAACAAGCAAATAAATTCACCAATAAACAGCATCAGAAGAAGAATTTACAACTCTTGAGTAACAGTAATAATCCTATAGTGTAACTGTGTACAGATTAAAGTTCAATAGTCAAAATCCTACCAAAATAAAAGCATTACAGAAACGTAAAAGTACTCTTTTATGGACTTTTAGCTTTTGGTCGATCTGCTGTTTTAATTTTTAAAAAACCCAAAACATTAGAGACTGAGGAAGCTTCGAGGTGTCTAAAACCAGCCTCCAGGTTCGTCTGAAGTCACCGTTAATTTATCACTTTAATGATTTTATTTGTTGCTCTGAGGTTGTTTCCTGTCCAGAGACAACAGATGCTAATTAGCTGCGAGCTAACTCTGGCCTCACTATTACTTTGCTTCTGCAAAATAAAACTCACTGACTGACATCATAATCCTGAACACACGACTTTAACTTTAATGCAGAAGTTTAAATGAGTCACAATCAGAAGTTCGTCGCCACCTTTATGGAGGCAACACCTCTTATATCAGCTATTTATTCTGTTTGTTTGTTTAATTAGAATCTGTTTGTTTGGTCACTTCAGATGTTTGTTTCTTTGACTTTTCTGTTTATTTATGTATTTATTTGTGTGAATAGTTTGTTGTTTATTTTTTTCATGTCTGTTGGTGCCGTTTGAGGCATTTGTTTATTTATTTATTTGTCAGAGGAAGTTGTTGTTTGCTTGCATTTGATAAATAAACCAACAAATAAAAAAACAAAAATCAAAACCACAGCTGTAGTTGAACTTCTTGGTGCTCGTGTTTGATACATCGTCTGCAGCAGCTTCAGCTTTTTATCCAAACCATCAAATCAGAACTTTGTTTTTTTCTTGCAGCCAAATCTCCCTGAATGACTCCAGAACCCTTCACTCTGACTTACTGGATCAGAACAGCTCGGTTCTCCTGCAGCTGGAGCTCCATCAGCTGCTGGACGGCGCCATCTAGCGGCGGCAGGCGGACACGGACCACCGGAAGCGGGGCGTTTTCTGCAGCCATGGCAACCTGCAGAGCCAATAGGAGGAGAGGATTCTTTTTACTCTGGATGCAGAAACGCGCGTTGAGCTTCCACATATCAGATAACATCAGGAGTTTGTTCTGATCCAGAGACAACAGGAGGCGAGTTTGTGTCGGAACCGCTCGACCATCATCAGTCTGTCACGGTGCCCACGGCCACGCCGCGCACGCGCAAACAAACACGCGACCGGTCGGCTCCCGCATGCGCAGTGCGCCGCCGGCTTCTCTCCCTGCCTCCAGCAGATTGTGAGAAGATGATGCGGCTGCTAGTTGGCCCATGTCGGTCGTAGCTCCTCTCCCGCCTTGTCCCGATTCTTGCCAAATTCACCGTTAAATGTCGGAGCGGAACCGGAGCGGAGCGCGCACCGAGCAGCTGTAACGGCACCGAGACACGAAGAAGAAGAAGGAGAAGAAGGAGAAGAAGAGGAGGAGGAGGAGGAGCAGTGACTGGAAGGAGTTGGGCATCAGATTGCACCGAATGTCATTATACGCTTTAAAATATCCAGGACGTGAGTATCCGCCTCTCCTGCCGCTGCTCTGATCATCATGAGTGTTTAAATGTGGTTGTAATTTGGTTTTAATCATATTTAATGTATTAACCTGCAAGAAAAACGGGTACCTCCCAGTTTTAGGCGTTATTTTAGGGGTTAATCTGGTGCTGGAGATCCGAATCCAGCAAAAATCAGCTGTTTTTACGCACATTTCCAGCAGATAATCTTTTTCTCAGTTCATCCTCTCAGCCTCCCACCTGTTCGACCGGCGCAAAAACGCACGTTTCCACCAACCCCCCACCCCCCAGCACGAAGCAGGTGTGTTTAGTTCACAGTGAGCGCGTTGGAACAATAATTGACGGTTTTATTCTGGCAGGACGGCGCCCGGAGCGCCGCTCTTCGCTCCTTTTTGTTTCGGTGCCACATGCGGGCTGATAAGCATCGGACAGGCTCGCGGGTCGTCGGGTTTTTGTACTTAGGCCCACATCTAAGCTCGTAGATCAATTGAATTTAAGCCTCTTGAGCGGACCGAGCGAAACCTGCTGACACACGCGCTCCGGTCTTTGTGTTCGCGCACAGAGCCGGTTAACCCTCCGCGCGCTCCGGCACCACAGCGGGCCGGTGTTACGCGCAAACAGCGTCTGTTCTGCACAGAGTTCGGCTCAGCAGTTTCTGTCTTGTGTTTTTTTTTTCTCCTCTTTTTCTTTTTCGTGCTGCAGCTGCTGTAAACGGAGGAGTTAATAATTTAAAGGGCAGCTGATGTGACGCATCGGATTAATTATAGATTAATATGGAGACACCTGCTCGCGCCTCTCTGCTGGATAAGAACTCTGTGTTATGCAACTAATTAGAATCAACGAGCCGCGCTGTGTCTCTATTTGGTTACTGGAGCTTATTGGGGTCCGTCTGCAGAGGAAGAAACCATCATCCTCCATCACAGCTCATGTAATTACCAATAAATCAACTAGTGATCGATGCAAAGTGCTTCAGCTCCGGGCGGAGGCCTCACACGGAACAACTTTGTGTTTGAGCAGAATATGGCACCAAGTGACACAGCAGAAAGTGAGCCAGAGAGCTGCTCCCCTGGAGGCCGAATTAAACACGTTAACTCCATTAATCGCTGTTAAACAGAGAAAGTGTGACTCCAGCCGGGTCAGAACTGAAGGACGGGAGGGAACCGCTGGATCAACTTAAAGGGTTCAAGTTAGTCTGACTTAAATCAGCAGGTTCCCCTCCAATCAACAGTTTGGTTTTAGGGAAATTCAACTTGAAGTTTCTGCTTTTTCTAAATGGTTTAGCCAAACGTTAAGCTTTAAACTTCTCTCCTTTTGGAGCTTCTGCAGAAAAATGTGAAGAAAAGTTGACTCGGAAGCACAAAACTAAAAGAGAATAAAACTAATTTTACACTTTAGCCTGAATCAGAGCAGTTTGAAGGAACAAAGTGTGACTTCAAGTTGATCAAATCCACAGAAACCCACCGAAGCTGAAGCTGAAACACACTTTGTTATATTCACAACACAAACAAGACGCACAACAAGCAGCTTCTCTTCTCTCCGGTTCCTGCAGCGATTAATCGATTAGTTGTTAATTATTAAATAAACTGCCAACTGTTTTCTGCTTTCTTTCCTCCTTTGAGTCGACATTTTTCACCGTTTTCTAACCAAACAACGAATCAAAAAACCACATTATGACTGCAGCCATGTTCCTCCGATCAGATGTGATTTAGTTCTGCTTCTCTTCTCTCCGCAGTATAATCGAGACCAAAGGCAGAGCCATGGAGGCTGTAACGCATTTTGTCAATGACAGTGTAGAGTTTTACAAATGGAGCCTTAATATAGCAGGTAAGTCTGGTCCAGACGTGTGGAGTCGGGTTATAAACTCATATGAAGTCGTAGTTAGCCACACTTTGGTTTTTTCACACTTAAAGGAACTTCTGGTGCTGCCCAAAGTGAGAAATCACCAAAATGATAAGAACACGGAATAAAAAGACAAAAGTATTTCGATTTTTTTGCCTTTTTTTTTGATATTTTTCGTTCATTTTGAGCAAGAAAAGTGGCTGATTTTTGCAAAAACGATGAACGTGCATTGCTGTAACTGCAATGCAAGCTGCTCATAGGTCAATTTTACACAAAAAAGACGTGAACAAGTGACCCGAAAGCGTCAGAACATGTCAGCGTGCTCGATGTTTTCATGTGTAGGTGTCTAGTTTCTGCACACGAGAGAATAATTCATAAATCTGGCAAAGCAAAGCTGCACCAACAGCTTGTTTTCACCTTTAAGGCTCATAATTAAACTGTTTTCAGACGTTAGAAACTCGCCCACTAGTGCTTCATATCTGTTTCTCTGCTTCCTGACGCCACCGTACTCGATCATGACGCTAACGTGGACCCTTCCCTCCCCCCAGACAAGCGGGTGGAGAGCTGGCCCATGATGGCGTCGCCCTTCCCCACTCTGGCCATCAGCTGCCTGTACCTGGTCTTCCTGTGGGCGGGGCCTCGCTACATGGAGGACCGCCAGCCCTACACGCTCAGGAAGACCCTCATAGTCTACAACTTCAGCATGGTGGTCCTCAACTTCTACATCGCCAAAGAGGTCGGTGCCGAGGCCGGAGGTTGCTTATTGGTTTCAAAGCTCCAGCGCTTCTGTTTTCATGCTAGAAGAAGATATCCCAATGCATAGCACGCTAAAAACCAAAAAACACCCGGATGTCCTGCTACATCGGGACACATTTAGCAGTTTGCAAGCAGAAGATGCGACAGTTTGAACTAGTATGAACAAACTTGAGCCTCACAAACGGATCATTTTACACTAAAAACTGATAAATATGAGCGAGACAGGCTAAGCTAATGCTACGACGCAGTGTCAGCTGTATGCAAACTGCAACTACTTCATAAAGACACCTGCAGTGAAGGTTAAAGAGCCAGTACGACGCCTACCTGCTCCTAATTATGCCCAACTTTAAACCTTAATATAATTAAAACGGGTGAGTTTTGTAAGAATCCACCTCCAGCACAGAAGTCAGTAACACTAAATCAGCTGTAGAGACTAAAACCAATGTTTGTTCCAGGTTGTAAACGTGTTTATTCCTGCTGGAAAGTCGCACATTTTAACATGGACGTCTATGGGGAGTGACTCGCTGTTAGAATCAGCCCCAAGTGGACGTTTGAGGAACTGCAGTTCAAGATTACTAAACCTTTATCGAACATGTGCTATAGAGCTTTAAAAAATAATTATTAGAGAGTTCAGTTTCTGGTTTTATAGATTAGAAGTCATGATAATAAACTTTTATCCGATAGCAGCTTATACAAGAAAAGAAAGAATGACAAGAAAACATCTTTTTAGAAAAAGGTGGGCTTTTACAACATCAGTAAGAAGCTGCTTCAGTTTCAGATTTCCTGCAATAATCTATTAAAACACCACAATCTGCCCCACAAGTGAAGCTGTTTTTTTTTTTATGGCTAGCATTTAGCATGTAGCACGTTAGCGGTGAAGCTCTATTTGTTGGTGAACCGGTCGACGTCACAAACCTGCCGTTTAATCACAGCCGACGATTATTTTCATTGTGGTTTATTTTCTCTGTTCTTTGGTTGAAAAAATGGTTTAAAAAAAAAAAAGACGCCTGAGAAGCTTGTTCTGTCCACAACCCAAAGATATTCAGTTTACTTTCATAGGAGGGGAAAGAAAGCAGAAAATATTCACATTTAAGAAGCTAAAATCTGAGCGTTTGGACTGTTTTTCTTTTAAAAAAAGCATCAAAATCATGCAGCACATGATGTCCCTGCTGGTAACTGATTAGCTGCTGCAGCTCTGTGCTTCATGTGATCTGATGTTTAGGTTGTTTTCTGATATATCAACACCAATGGATGCTGTAGCAGAGAACAGACCTGTGACATTCTCTGATATTTTTTTAGTAAAAGATCCTTCAGCGTTTTCGTCCTGCTTGTTTGAAAAACAGCGAATCAACAGGAGCTACTTGTGTGAACGTTGTTCTAATCGACCTTTTCCTGTCTTTGTCTCTCAGCTCCTGATTGGCTCTCGAGCCGCCGGGTACAGCTACCTCTGCCAGCCTGTCAACTACTCCAACGACGTCAACGAAGTCCGGGTGAGAAGCTTCACACACACGACATGGTTCTGGTTTAAAGCTGCTGGTGATGATGCATCTGAAGGCTGCTGCTGAGTGTTAAAACGCTGCAGCCGTTCGTTTCTGTTCTGATCATTTCTACGCCTCTACAAAGTAATAAAAAGATTTCTGTACTGCTGGAATTTTATGGCAAGATGTACGTAAAAACACAACAATTAGATCTAAAACTAATATAAAACATCTGGAAGTATTATCGTATTAAACGCTGGAGGAGCTGATGGCGAGATGCAGCACAAACAAGTGACGATTTAAAGGCAGTAAAATTTGCCTGAAAGTAGCTTCGTGGGGTTGAGAAGGTTTTTTATTTCTGTAAGCAAGTAAGTTTATTTCTAAAGCACAGAACCGTACTGGAAGGGGATTCAGAGGATTTTGTAGGTAAAAACAAAATGAATAAAAAATTAAAATGAAGCATGTTAAATAAGTCAAATAAATCATAAACCGTTGAGACGATGTGGATGAAGTGAATGCAAGTTTTGTGTAATAATTAGAACTGATTGGCTGAAACAGCAGAAAAAGAGACATAAAAAATGAAGGCATACAGAGGATAAAGTAGAAAAAATGAGAATAAAAGAGCAGGATTTACTAATTAAACTAATTATTTGAAAGCTGTGGAAAAAAGGATGGCTGTGAGCTTATTATTTTAAAAAAATGCTGCATTTGGGTCAAATTAAATCCTGAGAAATAAAAGGCAGTAAAAGAAAAATAATAATATTAAAAAATAAATAAATCCTGTTTAAATACATAAATAAATATAAAAATATGATGAGCCAGAAAAATATGTTTAAAAAAAAAAAAAAGTGACAATTATGGCAAATATGGAGCAAATCTTTGATGAGGAAAATATTTAAAGTTCATTTTTTTTGGTTTATATTTATGTGATTTTATTGGATTTATCTGTAATATAACAAGACAGAGAAAAGTCTGAAAAATTACTGGTTTTAAATTCCTCATACACTTAAATTATATTTATAATAACAGAAAATATCTGTCGAATAAGAATATTTTTGCTGATTAAATACAGTAAAAAAAAAACAAATAGTAGAGTTTTACAGTAAAAACAAAGATTTTTAACATCGATGGTTTTTGTATTTAACATGTAAATTAATATTTTTTTCAATGATTGTACACATTATTATCCCCTAAACAGAAGGAATTAGTTTAAATAGGAGTAGATAGTTCTAATAAACGGCGGTTAGATCTGAGCAGGTGCAGGTGAGCGGAGGTGAGTCGGGGTTAAAGAGGGTTTGGCTTCGCTCTCAGAGGAGGACGGTGAGTCTCACCACCTGAAGCTCCGCCCACGCTCCTCCCAGGCTCTGCCCCCTGGAGGCTGACCTCGATCACTCGCTGCAGCTTTATCGCTCAGGGAGGAAAGTGTCTCCTCGACTTATTTAATCTCATGTAACCAGATTAAAATCCCTTTTCTTTGAGGGAGACGTGCAACAAGGAAGTTATAAAAATATAGAAAAATCAAGTGTTAAAACAAGAAGTCTGAGAAAACTGAAGCACATTAAAACAACCAAACTGACTCCAGCTGAGGAGCATCAGCTGCAGCCTTCAGACACACTCTTAGTTTAGGTTCTTACCTGACATTGGCGTCCATCAGCAGGAACTTTCTGTTTCCTTTATGGTTGCTGGACACAAACTGCAGCTCTGTGTAGGAAACAGAACAACGGAGGTTTGTTAGGTTGGACGAGAAGTGGTGCTTTTTGTTTTCTGAATCTGTCCCCATCCGGCAGCTTTCTTCTCCCCTAAGACGTTCTACAGCGACAGTTCTTGTGTTTTCACAAAGCTTCAGGCCAAGCTCCTGCAGTGGAAAATGGTCTTTAACGTTGAGTACAAAGGAAATATCGCTGCATTTATTAATAAACGTCTAAAAATACAAACTGTTTGTTGCATCATAAGAGCGGCTCAGTCATTAAAATAGCTCAATGCAGCAGTGAAATATCTCCACAGACTGACACTGTCGGTAGTGGGATTCAGAAATCAGCCCCAGCATCTGCAGGAGATTTGCACAGAATAAGCAAAGTCTGTGTTTTAGTTGAATTATGGACTGAATCTGAGGATGTTGGATGAATATGTCGGCACATAACGGCTGTTGAATTTGAGCTTTCTTGGCTGAAGTTGCACCAAAACGCTCAGAATAATCACCACAGTTTTCGAAATTATCAAAGGAGGCTGAAGAAAGTTGTGGAAAAACCAAACACATCTCGCAAAGAAATTAAAAAATGACCCAAAATGGCAGAGATTTGGACTCTTATTGGACAAAGATGATCCCAGAACCTTCGTGTTTGGTGGCAAACGTTTGCTAATTTGTGCACAAACTCGTGCGAACGTGGCTTAAAGTCCACGTGAGCGAGCTGTGATGACGAACTCCGCCGTGTGTTTCTCGTCTCCAGATAGCCTCTGCTCTCTGGTGGTACTACATCTCCAAAGGCGTGGAGTTCCTCGACACCGTCTTCTTCATCCTGAGGAAGAAGTTCAACCAGGTGAGCTTCCTGCACGTCTACCACCACTGCACCATGTTCATCCTGTGGTGGATCGGCATCAAGTGGGTCCCCGGAGGACAGTGTGAGTATCCGTCCCAGTTTCGCTTTAAGCTCCTGGTCCTCCAGAGAGAACGTCTAACGGAGCTCTGAATGTTTCCCCGCAGCTTTCTTCGGCGCCACCATCAACTCGTCCATCCACGTCCTCATGTACGGCTACTACGGTCTGGCGGCTCTGGGACCTCAGATGCAGAAGTACCTCTGGTGGAAGAAATACCTCACCATCATCCAGATGGTGGGTTCCTCTCTCAGGGATCTAGGCTGTGTCTATAAGTAGTTATGGAGTCTGCTCAGAACACAAAGGTTTGAAGGTGGTTCTTCGTCTTTTCTGCTCCGAGAACGCAACAGAAACAGGTTTAGACCAGCAGCAGGTTGGTTCAGAGCCTTTAATGCTGGTTCCTGATGGGAAGCAGATGCCGTTTGTGAAACCTGTAAAACAAACGAGCAAAATGGTCGACTGAAGAAACTCAACTTTTAGTCTCAACATGGACGTCTGGCGGGTTTCAGCTCCAGAAAACCAAACTGTTTGCAGGATTCGGTGGTCGAGTCATTTCATTATAGAGCTAAAATGTACAATTATCGTCATCGTCGGTTATTTTCTGGATTATTTGATTCGTGGTTTGGTCGACAGAGATGATAAACGATGTTGGGTTTACCGTCGCAGAGGAAAGAAACCAGAGTGATAGTCACTCTGAAGAAGTTAAAGTTGACCGAACTGATCAGTCGATTCTGGAGGATCACTGAAGAGTTGACAACTAATCAGTGAATTAATGAGTCTAGTTTGGTACAAGGTGGATCCCTCGTTAGACACAAATATAGAGAGCTCGTTATGCTAACAGATAATAATTATCAGCGTATGGGAACATTTAACCTGAAGAGACTCTCCACTCGCTGTGAGTCTCTTCAGGGTTTTTAATAGCAAGTTTTTGTGTTCTGCGTTCTACAAACAGCCACGTCTGGGTTTTATCCACCGTCTGAAAGTTACCAAATCCAGTAAAACCACAGAACTACAACGACAGCGACCCAAAGTGAGTCTGGATGGGTTTGAGGTGCACCTTCCTTCCATCCGGGACGGAAAAACAATCAAAAAGATGGACTGCAGATTCATTAAACGGATTCTAAATCAGCATAAGAAGTGTGTTTAAGTCATTTGAAGGTTTTCTACTGAAACACCAACAACAGGCCGAGAGCAGCCGTACGTACAGATTCACAGAGACAGATCAGGAGTTAGCTGCTGTTCGCAAGTTCAGAGTCGTCAGAACAAATCCCGGCAGGCGGCACATGTAGAGCGTTTGTCTTGGTCCGTCGGGATCTCATCAACCAACCGGTCACCGTGTGGACTTGACAGCCGTAGAATCCCTTCACGGCTTCGTATTGGTGTGTTCTGTGCAGATAATTTGCTTGAATCCTCCAAACCAGAGCGAGTCAGTCTGGAAAACAAAACTAAACTTTATACGCTCCTTAGAAACAATAAGGAACCGATCTGTGCTCAATAAAGCGATTTGGTTCCCAACTGTTCAGAAGACAGACGAGTTTCTTACTGATTCCTGTCGACGGCTGGGACATTTTCTGTATAAATAAAAACTTATGTCTCCTACGTCATCAGTAACAAACAAACATGGCCGCACGAGTTTTCACGGCGTTTGTTTCTCCTCCAGATCCAGTTCCACGTCACCATCGGCCACGCCGGCCACTCCCTCTACACCGGCTGCCCGTTCCCCTGCTGGATGCAGTGGGCGCTCATCGGCTACGCGGTCACCTTCATCATCCTCTTCGCCAACTTCTACTACCACGCCTACCGACGCAAGCCCTCGTCCTCCTCGCACAAGGCGGGCAAGCCCGTCGCCAACGGCAACGCGGCGGTCACCAACGGCCACAGCAAAGCCGAGGAGCCGGAGGAGAACGGCAAGAGGCAACGGAAAGGCCGGGCCAAGAGGGAGTGACGGGCGTCGGGGCGGCGCCACGGGACAGTGGGAGGAGGGCGGAGCCGCCAGACACACCCCCCCACAGCCGGATGTCAACGGGACCAACTGGACGAGGTGTGTTTGTCGGGTTCTGGGAGGATGGAAGGGGTGTTGCTTTGTCTCCATTGCAGTTTTTAAAAAAAGAAGAAAAAAAAAAATCAAGAAATTCGCCGATCGGCTCCGAGCTCGACTGTCCGGCTGAGCTCCGGACCGGAAACCGGACCAAAAAAAACCCCGAAAAAAAACCCTCCAGGAGCTGCTTCAGCAACCAAAACTCACCTCCTCAACTTTTGTACTCTGGATTCATGTTTAACTCCGAGCTTCCTTAGTCTTTAATAAGCTTAATTTATATGCTAGCGCTCTGAAAGAGTTTTAATGAATTTTAATTATTATCAAAGACGTTTTTTTGTTTGTTTGTTTGTTTACAAATCTTTAGTTGAGTCGGCTAGCTGATGACAAAAGAAATTCTCACGTCTGCCATCTACCTGCTGTATCTACCACCTCCTGGACTCTCCACTGATGTCACACAACCTGTTCTCTTTGTGTTCATTGTGAATTAAAACTGGTTTAAAACACTTTGAGGGTGAAACTTTATAGAGTTTTTTTTTTTTTTTCCCTAGAATTTGTGCGATTATCTTTGTTGAAATATTTTCGTGGGTCCTCGTGGTTTTATTTCTTTAACCTTGCTGTGCGATGTAGAGAGGTTTTCAGATGAAGGTGTTGTCTCACTGCCACGTAGGACTGAAGGGAGCTGATGCTGCTTCTTCTTTCTTTTTCTAATTTTTAAAAAGAAATCCAACGGTTATTTTCTTGTCCTATGAAAACCAACCTGACACAGCTTCCTGGCTGCACATAGAACTGAAATAAAGACAGTGTCGGCACCCCATAGCTCACGTTTGTGTGTCTTTGTGTTAGAATCTGAGCGAACATGCAGGAGCGAGATGTCACCCATTAACCCAACTTAATCCTGAACCTCGAAGCCTTCCCTTCCCCCCCACCGTCCTCCCACCGGCATCCTCCCTTCTTAAAGGTGTGCAGAGGGACGCTGCCTTTGCCCCGTCCAGACAGATCTGCCCTAATCTTTGGGGGGTAAATTGGCTTTAGCTCCAAAAGAGCTTATTTCCACGTCACTCCACGAGTTTCCCAAGAAAAGCAGGTCACTGGAAGAGAAGCCTCGGCTAATCTGCCACCAGGTTGCCACTGTGGATCTGGACCTGTGTGGATTAGTTAACGTTTGGCTCTGACGGGGGTTGATTTATAGCCTGAATGGCTGCACACACAGAGAACGGCAGCTCCTCCAGAAACGAGCTCCAGCGACTGGGTTTCCTCCCGTAGCTACAGACCACATTGTGGATCCGCTAATGGCATCTGCTGAATTATTCATCGGCGCTATCCTGTTCCTTCGTCCCAACGCTTCCGCTCAAACTCACTCATGACGCTGCACGTCTGGAGCTGCAGAATCTAGTGTGGGCCGTGAAAAAACGAAATAACAATCAATTCAAAAAACTGTGAAAATACCACTAAAAACTATGAAATGCCATAAAAAATAAAGGCAGATATCTGTAAAATAATGAAATGTGTCCATCTGATCTAAATAAAGTAAAACAGCATAAAAGTACAATTTGTTATCTATAAAAATGTAGAACTTTGATGTGGACACGATTTATAGTTTCTCTGTAAATTAAAACCTTTTTACTGTAATTTTACTGGACATTATCTGTAATTTAACAAAACAGAGAAAATCTGTAAAAATACTAAATAGTTTACCGTCTTTTTAACGATACTAAATGCATAATTTTCCTTTCATCAAATGTCTGTAAAAGATATAAATAAATATAACAGTAAAATACTATAAAATAGCATAACTTCAATGCTAAAAAGAAACAAAATAAAATAAGAAAAATCTGGAAAATAACAACTAAAACAATTATTCTCCATCTTCAGACCTTAATATATATTTTTTTCTTTCAAATAACAGCAAATATCTGTAAAGAACATAATTTTAGTTGATTTTAAAGGCTTAAAGGTTGTTTTACATGTAAATTTACATGTTGTTCCTGTGATTCAAGATATTCTAACAAAAAAAAGGGAAATCTATGAAATAACACTTTACAAAATGGTTCACTGTTTTTAGTCATTAATAGAAATAATTTGTCTTTTAAATAAAGGCACATATCTGTAAAAGAACAATTACTGTTGCTTATTTACAGACAGTAAAAAGATCTGCAATTTTACATTAAAAGTAAAAGAATAAATTCTAATTTTGTAAATTATAGATTTTTGATGTGAACATTATTTAGAATTTAATTCATTAGTTTGTTGTTGTTCTTTTTTACAGTAAATGCATAAATACTTTACGTAATATATATATATATATATTAGATATGATCTAAAACAAAAAAATGAAGAAATTTGTAAAATACCAGTTTACCATTTTTTTCTTACTATTTTAAAATATTTAATATAATTTTTCTTTTTTTTAAATAACGGCAAATAATAATTTTTAAAATGCAGGGGGTTTTTTTAGACATAAATTTAGTTGCAAAGGAACAAATTTCCATTTAGAAAAGTACAGTTGATGTTATTTACAGGTTTTGTCGGATTTGTTTGACGTTAATCCTTCTTTCCTCTGATTTTTATTTATTTATAGTTTTCCACCCTTAAGATGAACTTTTTTTTTCTTTTAAATAAACGCAAACATGTTTAAAAAAATGACATTTTTCTGGATTTAAATATCGTCAAAATCCTGTCATTTTAGAGTCAAATGTAAAACAACAAATTATTTTCATTATTATTTGTCTTTTTACAATCAACATGTAAATGACAACCTTTTCACTGATTTTATTATTTGTTATTTTAAAAAAGGTACCCCCCTTTTTTAAAATAACAAATAATAAAACCTGTAAAGTGAGAGTAAATTGTTCTAAATACTACAGTTAGTGTTTCAGCTCTTTAAGCGGGACGCCTCCATCCTGCACCACCTCTCCATCCTCCTCCTGATCCTGCTGCTGCTGCACCACCTCCTGCCTCCGACGGGCCGGAGGCGGCGGCAGGTCTTCTGGAGCGTAGATGTGAATGACGGAGTGGACCGGCCGGGCCGAGCCAGAGGAGGCGTATTCGTCCTCCTCGGGGACACTGAGGGATCTAAGCCAGGGGAGCTAAGAGGATTGCAGGAGGACCGAGGCTTTTCTATCAAAGGCATTTAGCTCAGGTCACTATAACCTGCAGCCCTGCATGAGCGGCCTGCAGCCACCACATGTGTGTTTAAAACCAGCCTGTCCTGCACCGATACCCAGAAAACGCTCTTTAGTTTGAGCAGAACTTTAACTTTCAGGAGGAAAAAGCTGCACGAAACACCTACAAAGACGTGGCACAGTGTGGAAGCTTCACCAGCCGGCTGAGACCCTCCTCGGCCGGGATGCAGGCGGGTGAAGGGTCAGTGTGCAGGGGTTAAATCCTCACAAACCCGACCCGTCACTCACTCATCTCATTAGCAATTATATGACTAAGGAGCTCATTCTAGCCTAAGAGAGTGGAAACAGTCAGCGTTTTACTGGCTCTCCGTCTGTGGCCAGATTAGCCCCGGCTGAGGAGGGTTCGTGCAGGAAGAGCGCCCTCTGCTGGGCCACGGCGGGTAAAGACCTGCAGCATGTGCTCAGATAAAGGATCTGTCTGTAAACTCAGAGACCAGGAAGAGAAGTTATGGTACACAGTCGGCAGGTGACTAAATAAGTAAAAATAATCCCGATTTAAACTGATTATTTGATTAGTTTGCAACTAAAAAAAACTGATCTTCAACTACTTTGATGATCAATTAATCAGCCTGAGTGATTTTCTGAAGTTACAACTGACTAAAATCTGTGGTTGCAGCTTCGTAAATGTGAATATTTTCTGGTTTCTTTCTCTCTGTGACAGTAAACTGAACATCTTGGGACAAACTAAGACATTTGAGGAAACACTGATGGACATTTTTCACCATTCTGGGGGCCAAACAGCTGATAGATTCACCAAGAATTAGTTGCCAACGTTCACAAAACCAAACTCCATTCAAAAATGTTCAAATTTAACCCTAAACATGGAGCGTTCATGAATAAATCCAGATTTTATTTTGCTCTACTTTGTTTGCCTTCCACAGTTTTTAGAATCAGGGTGAATTTTTGTCAGTAATCACAAATAATTTTTAACAGCTGCTATAAAAATCAAGAAAATTGTCAGTGGAAATAAGAATTAGTTGCCAACCTTCACCAAACCAAACTCCATTCAAAAAAGTTCAAATTTAACCTGAACAGAAAATTCATGAATAAATTCAGATTTTTTTAAATTTTGTTTTTGCTCCAGTTTGGTCGCCTCCAGCAGGTTTTTGAATCAGGATGAATTGTTGTCGTGAATCACAAGTCATGTTTAAAATACAAATTAAATTCTGTGTTTGCGGCTTCTTAAACGTGAATATTTTCTGGTTTCTTTCCTCCTCTGTGACGCTAAACTGAAGGTTTTTAGGCAAAACACGACATTTGAGGAAAATTCAACATTTGTTTTTAGAACTTTCTGACATTTTAGAGACCAAACAGCTGATCAATTAATAGAAAATAATCCACAGATTAACTAATAATCTCTAATGTGACGCCTGTATTATTGTGGGCGACGTGTCAGTGGCAGGAAGTAACTAAGTACATTTACTCTAAGTACTGAAAATAAGCGTCACCACTTATATATGAATATATCAACAATAATGACTGACCAGCTACAATATTATGAATAAATCAGGAGCCATTCACCATAAACAGAAGGTCACTTTGGATATTTAAACATTATTTACAGACAACACTTCTCTGCTTTAACTTAAGGATGCAGAACTACGTGATATAAAGAACTTTTAAAGTTAGTTATTGCTGATTTTACTGAAGTAAAAGAAAGAATAAATCATCTGAATGCAGAGTTTTTAATAGATTTGTGTTTGGGTGAAGCTGCCACAAGTGAATTAATAATTACGCACATGAACCTGCATCCTCAGAGGTTTATATCAGTAAACGGGATGTAGAGGAAATAAACACTGTGTTGTTCAGGTTTTAGGAGGTGATTTTACTTTACTTGACTCTTTTCTTTTCATGCATCCGCCGCTTTCTGCTCGTCTCACAGAGAAAGTCTTTTACTCCACCAGTCATGACGGACGGATGGAAAAACAGAAAAAAAATGAAATAAAAAGAAAAAAATTTGCGAAGTGTCACAATTTTTTCAGTGACAAAAGTTAGAAAAATCTCCTTTTTGCAAGAAAAGTGAAGAAACGACGAGCAAGTGGAGAATAAATCTGTGAAAAATTATAATAATAGTGAAATAAAATAATGGACCTGACATCCAGAAACAGCTTCAACGTTTTAGGACGAGATTTAAAACATTTTAAACCCATGTTCATAAAAAAGACGTTTTATATGGATTCATAGCTGCAGCGCTTTAAAACCTATTGGAGATTAAAACATCCATTGTGTGCGTATTTTTTACTGTGTGTGTGTGTGTGTGTGTGTGTGTGTGTGTGTGTGTGTGTGTGTGTGTGTGTGTGTGTGTGTGTGTCCTGACGTCACGGTCCGGTGGTCGGTGGCGCCCCTGCAGTGCCTGGTGCTGCCCGGCGTCAGCGCCTCCTCAGCGGCTTGAGGGGGGAGGATTCCCCGGGACGCTGCGCAGCTCCGAACACGTCCAGAGACGCGTCCGTTGGAACTTTTTGCACGTTTCCAGAGCGGCGGCTGTCGGTGCATCAGCCTGCGGAGCGTGTTTTGCTGCTTCTGGGTGAAGCGTAAAGTTGGGAAATGATGAGAGAAGCGCGCAGAGCAGGTGGAGAAAAGCGGCATCTAGCGGCGTTTGGACGGAACCGTCCTCCTGCAAGTTCAGCTTTTATACTTGTTTGAATTTCGCAGCATATCTGAAGCGTTGTGGTCAGATATATTTGGGTGTTTTATGCGGTACTTGGTTTGTATTTATGAGCCACAGAAGTCGCGCTGAGTTCGTTTCAGTTGTGCGTAAAATGCGTCCGGCCGCCGGCGGCGCTGCAGATCCTCCATCCACATCCCCGGCAGACAATAGCGCAGGCAGGAGGAGGCAGCAGCGGGCTCCCTCACCGGCTACAGCCCAGGAAGGGGCGACCCAGCGAGCTGCCAGACACCCAGGCCGGTCCAGGTCTCCTCTGAACCCGGGAAGGAGCAGAGACGCGGCGGCGAGGCAGAGCCGGAGGTCCGCGGACGGCAGAGAGAGGGAGCCCGAGAGCCGCCGCGCAGCCGCCGCTCCTCACCCGGATGGTGCTGAGGCTGATCCCGTCACAGCGAACAGGGCGGATGCTGTCGGGGAAGATCGGTCAGATTCAGCAGCACCGGGCCGCCGCTCAGCGCTGAACTGCTTCGGAGGAGAGTCCAGCCGGCGTCGGTTCTCCAGCAGAAGCTCGTCCGGGAAGGAGAAAAGCGCAGAGGAGAGCGGCCGCCGGCGGAGAGGCGCAGAGTCTGCGGGCTGCGGCCTCAGTTTGGGTCTGTGGAGAGGAGGATGCTTACAGGCTGAACTGATCCACTTCCATCTGCAGAAGAGACTCAAGAGGAGCAGGATGCAAACCAGAGCCGAGGGCCTGGGCGCCGTGGAGGCCGCGCAGGAGGCGCCGGAGCCGGCTGCGGAGGCGACAGAGGCGGGGTCGGTGACACAGCAGGACCAGGCCCTGGAGGAGGAGATGGAGAGGCTGCTGGAGGAGAACGAAGATCTCAAGGTTTGATATCGTGCTTTTAATGTCAGCAGCCAGCAGTTACTTAAAACAGAGCAGATAAAAATACAGAGTCAGCTGACTGGAGTGAAGCTGCTGCAGAAAAACAAGAGTCCATCTGGTTCCATGTTATGAAACCTAAAAGCATCTGATTTTTTATTTAAAGCCTGAAATCTGAGCTGCATCATGTGTTTGCAGAGTCATCACTGAGCTGACACATGAACATCTGTCTGCAGAACATCCTGCACGGCTCCACAAAACAGAAAAAAAAAAGGAGACTAAACTGGCTGCAGATGAGTAATTGGTTATTGATTAGACTGGTATTGATCTAGCAGATCAATCATCTCTTGTGATTAGAAGAGACTTCCAGCAGAAATGTGGATTGCATGAAATCATTTGTTTTGCAAAATTAAAAAAAAAATTAAAAAAAGATGCAGCTGAATCTTAGAAATGATTCAAACTTCAGGGTTTTGTTGTTCAGCTGACGTGTTGCTTTCTGAACTAAACCGTCTGTGATCCGTCGGCACAGTGCGAGATCGAGGAGATGAGGACGGAGATGGACGAGATGCGAGACACGTTCTACGAGGAGGACACTTGTCAGCTGCAGGAGATGAGGCGTGAGTTAGAGAGAGCCAATAAAAACTGCCGGATCCTGCAGTATCGGCTGCGGAAGGCCGAGAGGAAGCGTCTGCGGTACGCCCAGACGGGGGAGATCGATGAGGAGCTGCTCAGGAGTCTGGAGCAGGACCTCAAGGTACCACCTGGAGGAGGAAACACGCCAGATGATCACGTAGAACCAGACTTCTGGTGCAGGAGAGGTTTGACACAGTTTCAGCTCCTCGTCTGACGTTAAAATGTGATTCCTGTGATTGTTTTCGCAGGTGGCCAAAGACGTGTCGGTGAGGCTGCACCACGAGCTGGAGAAGGTGGAGGAGACGCGAACAAAGACGGAGGAGGAGAACGAGAAGCTGAGGCAGAAGCTCATCGAGGTGGAGGTGACCAAACAGGCTCTGCAGAACGAGCTGGACAAAACCAAAGAGGTGGGTCGGATCCACAGAGATACAGCAAAGGAGTCAAATATACGAAAACATGATGCACATTCAGCTTCCACGACTCCTGCTCCTCCCGTCGGCTCCGTCTTCATGCTGTTGATTCTGATTGTAGCCGAACACCAGAGCAGGGAGCTCAGCCTCCTGACACATGGGGACTGAATGAGCTGCAGGATTCATCTGTTTAGCAGAGCAGGGCCAAAACGAGACGGAGAGGTTTCAGCTTCAGGTTGTTGCATCTTTAGTTTGGATGCGACACAGAGCTGTGAAACTTGTGTAAGTTAACATCTTCAGACGATGAATAAATACTGAGAGAGCGGAAGTGGAAGCAGTGTTCAGTATAAAGCAGACTTTTACTTAGTTTAATTTAAAACTATAGACACTTTATGGCCGGTTTCTGTATTAAGAGGGGCGACACACACCTCACGACTGTCTGTTTTTACGCACTACTCTCACATCTTGTTTGGTCAGTTTCAGCGATTATCGTGAAAATGTTCTGATTTCTCTTCCAGGTTTCTGTTTCTGCAGCTTTGTGTGGGTCGAACACAAACCAGAAGTTCACGTACACTTTATAAAAAGACATAAAACCTTCTTGTTTCTCACCGTCTGACATTAAATCAGACTAAACGTTTCCTGTTTCAGGTCAG